ACTTTTGAAAAGCAACGATACTAATTTGGTAATGCCAATGTCTCATCCAGCGATCATTTTATCTAAGTTCCAGACAGAAGTTAGTCTCAAGACATCGCCCTGTCGGTTCCCACGCGTGTGCCTTACCGATAACTTTTTGCGCTCAACAGGCCGTTTTTAGGAAAAAACCTGAATCCAATCACGTTTTCTATTCAAAACCATAGTAGCTATGTACGCCTACTTCGGCGGTTGGACGCTGAGCTATGACGGCATCCAAGCCACTGGTCACGATTATGTGACTAGACGTAATAAAATCAAGTAACAATTTATTATTTTATACCTAGAACTCAACTAATATAGAAATACTAGCTATATAGTCGTCCGCGTGGTCATATCTGTATCACTTATTTCAGGCATTACCAAATTCCTTTATAAACTGTTTCGATTGAAGAAAAAACAAAGTACTTGACTTACCCCTAACCCTACAGACTTCCATAAACTTTCTACTTTCTTAATAGTCTATATCAAAATTACATCAAATCCTTTAATATGTGTTTGAGTAACATAACCTATAAAATTTTTAATTTCTTTGCAATTTCTAATTACAGAGATGGAGATATATATGGAGAGATCTTTAGCTAAAACAAAATTGTTTTGAATAAATTTATCATTATCCAAATACCAAGACCACAAACTGTAAGTATGTTTTACAATATGATTTTCCAAAAATAGAATGGACTAATTGCTAGAATATTGCTTGAAACGTGCATGCGACTGCCTAAAATCCAATCGTTTCCACCGCATACTGAGTTGAAAGACAAGCTTGTGCGTAACTTAATACAGGAACAATCCATGTTGTATTCTAATTTCTAACAACGAATAGAACCGCATTTCTACTGAAATTTAAATTTAACTTAAAGTAATTATGAAGTTATTACTTGGAAAAATCCGTGGAGAGCTGCCCCGCTTCAGGAGTAACAAAGGGTTACTGCAGGACTCCTACCGGCTTTCAAGTCTGCCGTCCACATAACAGGAGCAAATATGGGGCAGAGGCGCATCTCGTATTCCGGTGCGTCTTTCCCACGGTGGGCAGAGGCGGAGAACTGGGAACAATTCCCCCTACGCGTGATGAGGGCCTGCTTAGCGGGCAACTGCCGCTGTAGTCGCCCTTGATTGCGACCCCGTCACTGTGGCCGCGTCTCCACGCGGATATTCCTCCGAATATCATAGGTTTTTTTATGAGTAGGAGTTTCACAGTACCCATTCGTACTCCCACCGGTTAAAACCTCAAAAATGTAGATACCACTTGTTATCGGAGCCACGGGTGTATGAGAGCACGGTTCTTACGCACTTCCAACAGCGGGAACCAATCTCAGTAGATAGGGCACTACTCTTCTTCAATAGAAGCAGCGAGAGTACAAGCATGTGCCTTTCAGAGCAGAGATGTCGGCGGTCATCTTTTCTTCTACACCTTCATCAGGTCCGTGAGTTTAAGGCCTTCGCCCCGGTTCTGCAGCTCTGCACGCCAGTGGTTAGCCTATATACAATATACTATTTTAACCCATTTACTAACTCGGCATAAAACAACCGCGCTTAACAAAATAACAACTCTACTAGTAACATACTAACATATCTACCATACTGTCTATAATAATCAAAAAGATTTTGGTCTATCAAGTCATAAAAGCTTACATTTACAAGTACTTTTTACATACATTTTTCTTTATTATTAATCTTCATATTACTCTTCAAATTTAGGGCGCTTATTATGAGCATGTCTGCTTTATCGATATTTTTAATATCTTCCCTGTCAAATATTACGTTACCTTCATAATATGAAGTGAGATTTAGGTAAAAGTCGCCCCTTTCTAACTGTAACATGAAAGTCATCTAGCCAAACATGAATAACGGCTTCCATCCTACACCCGAAGCCGCAGGTCGCAGGTAATACTATTTCATACAAATATTTTATATAGCGAACTTTATAAGTGAAAGTTTATTTTTGTAAAAAGTCGTCAGCTGGATACTTTAGTCATACCTATTTCAGCCGCTAAGCTGTTTGCAAACTTTTTTCCGTTAGAGGGCTGTCGATAAAGTACTGAAATTACATGATATTATATAACATGAGAATTTAATTATTTTACAACACTAAAATACATAATGCATTCCAATGCACGAACATCAACAGGAATATAGACATTTAAGCATTGTTAGTACAGTCTGCCTTAGATGGGTACAGACGTTACCGGACGAAACCTTGTCAGCCTCAAAGTTGTATCATTTGAATTGCACCTGAGGCTGTACATGACATTAATAGACTAGGTAGAACCTTGTTAGTCAGTCTCCTATGATATAGAGCGTTCCTATATAGAGTACGTAACAAAGACTACAACAATTATGCGGTGCTACTGGCATAATTTGCGGATTTATATCTAATGTTATATAGTAGATAATAACACTTCAAGAGTGTATTTTCTAATGATACTAAAAGAGTATGTTGTCTAAAATAATACAAAATTAAATTTCTATCAGACATCTAACTATTGTTCCATAATTTATTTATATTAAATAAAATACTTTTTTTTCCATAAAATAGCATTCAATTTAATGAGATTATTTTAAATTAAAATGGATAGATATATTTTAAAAAAACGCAACTACATTATGGGATCAACACATTCTTATGCGTTGATACCATAATATAATCATTGCAATGATTCACTGCAATTGATCACAATAAATTGCAGTGAATCATTGCTTAAATATATCTACGTATCTGTATATTATAAGTTACTAACATAGTTTTATAAGTTTTTTTACTAACACAATATGGATGTAATCCGAATAAAAATAAAAATAAATTACAATTCGTTCAAATTAATCAAATGGAAATGGCTGGCACTTAGTCCTAAGATAAAGTCATTAAAATTATTTAGAAATAAACTTTTATAAAGTTGCGGTAGATATTTTCTATGAAGATGTTATCTGTGAAGTTTGTTTTATTCTGTGAGACACCTACTCTGAGACAAAGCTTGCCTTCTATAGGTATAACCAGTAATGTTATATACGCTGGTAATTAGTACTAATAGATATTAATTGATTTCAAGAAGCCATTTTCATTGTTCAACATGCTTTTACGGTCCTTTTGTTGTTTATTCAATAACATTATTGGTAATGTTCTCATATACAAGAGGAAAGTAATTGAATAAAACATAATTGAAGTTGATTCTGAAAAATAAACCCACAGGTATACCAATAAAATTTATTCTCGTCTAATCAGTTATTGTTTTATTTACGTCGTAACTGAGTGAGTAGACCGAGCTTCGCTCGTATATATTTTTTTTTAAACTCGCAGAGATGACACTAACAGACATAGACTTGTAAGGCAAAACGTTATAAAAAATATATGTTATCATGGAAGTTCGTCGAGATAATGATGCCTATATAAGTATAAACATTGTACCTTTAATATTGTTTTACAAATAATTTTATGAGTTCTTTACTCCACATAGTGTAAATTCTAAATAAATAGTTTCTATCTATTATTCAGTACCAAAATGTTTCTCGCAACTCCTATTAAACTGAAATAACGAGTCTAAAATATAAATATACATCACTTAATTAACAGGCGCCCCGTCCTCCGTATTAATAGCGAGCACGGGGTGATATAAACTTAAGCCCGAGAAATAGTAAAAAAACGTGACGCAAAATCTGAGGAAAATATTTTAACCATCGCTTGAAAACATGAGCAGACATCATTACAGATATCATCACATATAATGCAGCTCACCTCGTATATACCAATCAAGAGTTACTATCTATCCTGAGGACTTAGTCGTTACACCTATTTACCTAACTACTTATTGTCATAAACACTCCCAAGTTCTTGAAAATAGACACCATTAACATAAGAGGAAAAGCGCAAATATAAAACTGTATATCAAGTAGCCTAAATATTACCACATGGTCTGGAAATAATCAGAGCACTGATGGTGAACGCTTCATGTATCAGGTTTAAAAACGTTTATAATGAATCTCCTTGACTACTCTGTTCCTATATTGCCGCTGATGTTAAAGAAGGTGTAGACGTTTTACAATATATATTGTTATATAATAGTAAAATAAAACGAACACATCAATATCGTCCATTTATTTTGAAAATATTATGCAATTGTAACCGTTATTATACAAAGGTGCTTATTACCAAATTATTTAGTATATCTAAAATACAGTAAAGTATGTATAAAATAAATACCTATTTTTATATAAAATCACAATTCGTACAAGGCATATAATTTTTGCTATATTTTATCCATAAGTAGATATTATGAACAAAATTACACTTTGGGCCAAATTTTTTTTGTTATCATATTACAAGGTAATAAAATTTAAGTATTTAATCAATTAGGTACATATTAATTGTTGCGTATAAATTAGTGGAGGTAATTACATTTCATTTTTACTACTAACAAGGCATTAATAAAAGTAAGGCATTTCAAATCTTATATACTTACATAAATTGCATACAATATTTTTAGTTTCTTATATATTCAATATTCAACAACTTACGAACTAATAACAACTTTTAATATCTAAATATAACTAATTTATTTAATAATTATTAATAACTTACGTGATATACAATAGTGCAATACTATCAGGAACCGAAAATAATACAACAAATGTTAATTTATCACTATAATTACGAAATAATTCTAAATAAAGCTGTACAATACAAATAGTGAAACTAACTAAATTAGCCGTGAAGTACTTAGTAAAATATTATACAACCAACTATCAAAAAACGGAAGCTTTTAATGACGGTAATCGTATAGGAATAATAGAGTTAAATCCCATCGAAATAGGTTTTACCCTCGTAAACAAAATTTATAAATTGTTAGTTGGTTTCTTGAGGAACAAAGTATACTTGTTGCATGTTGGTAAAGAAAGTAATATGGCCTCTGTAGTCTTAACATTTATTGCAATAACTGCTTATAAAAAGAGTAAGTAATTAACAGCATATTGTTTTATAACTTCCATCTATCTTCAAGCGCTGTCGCTATTAACTTACTGTAACTTTTGATGTCTCAAAAAATAACCGAATTAACTGACTTTTCAAATTAATCTTCTTAATAATGTTTATAGCATCTCAGTAATGTTTATAGCGTCTAAAATCTGTTAAGGCACTATCAATAATATGACATTATTTTTCTACAATTTTCAGATTTGTGAACATGTATTCAGTTATATATTTCACTACTATACAATATTTATTGCCTTGTATACATATATATGTTATATATGTTATTTCTAGTGAACTCGTCCCATATCCATTCCTCCTAGTTGCCCTAAGTAAGGATATCCAGACTTGGCCTCCGTCGGAGAATGGGCATGTGAAGCGTAGTGGGATGGATTCGTGCCGAAAAAGGAACTGTAACAATAAAAAAAGCATATAAGTACATAGAAACATGTTATTTACTCATAAACTTATTATATAATTACAATATACACATATATCGCTCTCCTAATTCTAAATTCAAGTTATGAAAGAATGACGTATTTTATAAATATATCTTAGTAAGAAACAAAATAGTCTTAGGACGTTAATATTATGCACCCATCTATACCTACTAACATTATAAACAGGAAAGTTTATAGCGTCTAGAGATTTTATTGTGTACACATTTGTGTTTGTAATAACTTTAAAATTCTTCCACTATTTGAAAATATAGTATTTCCGAGTGTTATGGACTACACTATGTATTATTTTTATATACCCATATAAAATTCACAAAGTTATGAGCATGTGGACGAAGTGATAGCCTAAGGGATAGAATACGCGTAAGTAAGCATTTAACATGAGCCTTAAATATTTTCTGGTGCCTGTAATTATATAAACATTTAAAGTTTATGTCATATACCTAATTACATGATATTAGCATTACACACTTCATAGTAGTCACACCAAACTATGTATCTTATGACGATATCTAGGGTAAAATCCGGATACTTGCCTCGGTGGGATACATGCCCCGGTTTTTAAAAAACTATGTTCTGAAGTTGTGTTCGTGCTTTACTATAATAAGTAGTGACCGCCCCGTAGGCCTCAATGCCACATAAGCCATCGGAATAGCCGTATGTGTTTTGTCAGAATGAGCCAAAATGTACCGCGGCGAAACTTTGACGGGCGTTATAATTATATTGGTAAATAATTGCTATTGAATATTTTTATAACTGATCGTGGTTTCAGACAACTTATTGTTTCTTTGGATGCATTAGAGTTTAAATTACATTGTTTATTATGTTTTATTGCAAAATATTTTTTATTTATTTTGCAAATAAAAAGGGCAAATATACGCATCAAAAAGGATAGTCGCCCTCCTTACTCTCGCGGACAGTTGCCCCTAGAATTATTGAAATTTTTTTAACAAACAAAGACGGATTTAATTTTTTTTCTGTTTTTTCGAAATTATTTTAACTCTAACTTGTTATAAATCAAATAAATATGTACTTCACTGTTTTATATATATATTTATTCTAGATAAGCATAATCCCTCGCAAATATAAGCAAAAACCAGGCGTGGTGCTACGCAACATCAACTGGACAGAGAATAGCTTAGCACCTGCCTTCGAAGAATTGAGACAAAAACAAAAGATCTCGATGAAATTTCTCAAATATACGGAATATCCTCTAGGACCTTAAGAAGACGCTATGAAAAGAGTAATCAACATTTTTTTTATTTAAAGGATATGTATCTAGCAATAGAAGTACAAAATTCTATCTACATACCTACTTTCTTATCTGAACTTATTGTATTTTTTGTCTTTTCTAGGAAAATATCCTGTTGTTGGCTTTGAGAATTAGAAAAGACTGGTAGCTCGTATATTGAAGTTTGGAGACGCCAGTTTTCCTCTCTTCAATCTCAGTAAATTATAAATACTGTTAAATAAATTATAAAGATTACTCTAATTGATATAAATTTCTTTCTATCCAAAATAAAAATCATACCGGTTACTATCCCCGCTCGAGGCAAGTATCCTCCGAAGCATTTTCCACGCTAGGCTACTATCCGCCATAGTTGGCAACTATCCCTTTTCTTAGAGGTAAAATAAAACAGTATTTATTCAAAACCAGTGCTAAATATGAATACAAAAAGAGGCTTTTATAGAAGATAAAAGACATATGTTTTGAGATACATACTAAATATTTTCCAGAAAGTTCATATTTTTAAAATATAAAGCTTTTTCGAAAAGTGGGGCATCTATCCGGCTTTTCCCCTTTTACGTCATTTATTGAACCTACTATTTGCAATGAAGTCAACATATATTTATAATTCACCCATTGCCAGGTATATAATTTATATAAAAGACCTTAATTTCACTAATCCTCAAATTAATACCAATAAAATAAAGTGGCACTTTTTATATATTATAACTATTTTGTTAATATCCAATAGACAAAACAAGAGCACAAATGACAAGCGTGGGAAGTATGCACAATTAAATTCGTAAATGAACAATTTAATTGGGACAAATCCGATTCACCGATACATAGATGTTGAGAACCCATAGGCGGTAATAATTGTAATCACAGAGTAGCCGTTCTAATGCCCCTTTGTAATTGTTACTTATTTTCGGACTACCGTATATGTAATTAGGGTAACGTCAGTAAACAAAACGAGAACTAAATATTAGCGATCATTAATAAATCCAAAATAGAAATATATTTTGATTACTACAGATTTTAATAAATTATTTAGTATTACTAAATACTTAACCTTAATTTTTACTCCATAAATAGCAAATAGATTTAAGTTTAATATAATGTTCGTAAAACATTTTTGGCTGTACGTATAATCTAATTCTCTTGACCGTAAACCTTAATTTTTGTTCAAATCGTGACTAGAACGAGTAATAAAATTTAATTTCAGTTTAATTCAGTTGCTGTACGATTAAAGTTCACTGCCGTACTAGTATTATTGCGTACAACAAGGTCAAGTATTATTTAGCAACATACTTACAAATTACTTTGTGTTTAAGTAGATATTGTGCTAATAATGTTGTATTGTGCTATGAAACATTTTACGTGTTGATTCATATTTTAATTACACCTTCATTATATAACATTTATTTTTATATATTTGTAAAATAGAACCTTTCTTACTAAAACTGTATAATGTTTTCTCTTTTGATTTCATTCAAAGATCAAATCTATGTATTACAAATAATTAAATTACGCTAAAAAAATATTTATTTCGTATAATATATAGATACATAATTTATTTGATATTTATTATAGTTGACAAAATACAATATTCGTATAGTATCTATGCCGCAACATAAAGAAAAATAAATATAGTTTTCATTTAAGGTAAGCATTTCACCGCCGGACAAAATACATCGCTGAACGATTTACCAAAACCGTGTATTTGCAAAGCCATGTCTTCTGTTCCCGGGTACAAAAATACTATTAAATTTAATAAGCATTGTAGCGGCCAAATTAAGCAAAAGACTCGTGAAATTTCTATAAGACACAGCTGCTATGAATTTCAAATTGCGAGTGAACGGTTTGCAGCACACGCAACCTCGCTGTTTAGGAAGTCGAATGCAAATAGCTGCAGATAAGTTTTAATACCAGGTTACCTCACTTTAATGCTCGGGTTCACCACTCTAATGTCACGTTCGCCTCTCATTAATTGCTGTACAGTACAAAGCAAGGTGTGTTTATCTCTTCCCGTAATGTATTGTACTACTGCTCATATTATTCTCATATGCTGTTAATCTTTGGTATTTTATTTCCTTAACATGTTGACCTAACTCTCTCAGTATCGCCTTAGTTGTAACGTTATAGAAGTAGCAATTAATGAAGGGACAATATTATGTGATATCTCAGAATGTTCTTTTTAATACTAACACATACACACTTTCAAATCGTTGCAGTGTCAACCTATGATTGTGCAAATATTATCTTTTATTTTGTTTAGTTGAGTTTTTGAATTATTTAATTTCTATTGTTATTATTCAGATTTCTTTTAATATTACATTTACTGTCACAGACAAAGCTGAAAATCAGTATTTTCCTTATTTAGTGGTTTCATTTAATTCCAAACTAAACCACATTTTATATCACTAGGCACATATATTAAAAAATACATAATTCGCTTAAAATTTTTCAAAATTCTAAGATACACGTTGTGACATCGCACGACGGGTATGATTTTAAAATTCCATATTTATTCCTTTGAACATTTGCCTTTCACTAACAGTATAAAAATATTTTACTAACATAGCAACATTGCTTAACTATAGTCAATATATCGGCAAAGCAAGGTATTGTCAAATGTATTATTTAAAATTAAAATACTTCACATAGTAGTCGCCATATGGACAAGAAATATTAAACGTTGTCCATATTTCGTACACACAACAGATTTTTAGCAGAAGAAAAATAACAAATGGGGTTTAGTCAGTTACATATGTTACGTCAATCAAATGACTAGATAAGACATACCACCATATAAACGCGGCTAACCCCATATATTATTAGTGTGTTCATCATTGTGTAAGACGAGATATTGTGTGTGGTCCAATGTGAGGTTTATAGACATGCTTTGTTTCGATAACACAGATAAATGTCGTTGCCGTATAGAGTACAATGCGACAATGTGTTTGTCACATTCTCTTTCGACAAATTCACTTTAGGAGTAACAGATACCTACCATCTAAGAAATCACGAGACATATCTCCTTTCGATCTTCTATTATACTTTAACAATTGCTATCGCTTTTCAACATTGCATGTATTAAAAAGAACAAGATTAAAAAATAATTAAAAATTGATTGAAAATCACTATAAAATTCGCAGCCCTATTGCACTCACGATCGAATCGGCGTATTACGAAGCTGGGCCTGTAATAACCACCCGCGCGGCGTATAATGGCCGACTTCTTACACTCTTAATTGATTAGCGGCTGCTTCGGCTAATGATAAAGGAAGGTGAAAAGTAATAAAACGAATGCACCCCGATTTGCAATCGATCCCCACGCCTGCTGATAGCCACCGGACGCCGCTTAGTATGGGATTAGAATGATTCAGGGTCTATAAACACTAAATCATCAAACTAAACTGTATAAGTACCAGTCATCCGAAATGATGTCATTTTAAAGCGTGCCCTAAACGGTCCAAACCTATTATTATTACAGTAATATCGGTCTTAATATATTGTTATTTAAATCGTCAGTAACAAAGGTCAGTTCATTATAATTGCATATTCATCCGAACAATTCAAGACGGAACATGAGTAGCCGAACATCAATAATTCATAAAGCTACTTGATCGCCGCCAGGGATTATTGAGACGTATAATTTGTATCGGTATTCTAATATTAATTATTTGTTAGTAGATTATAACTTAGATTAGAAGACTTACCTATAGTTTTCTGGCCAAGCACCAACTTCTGCTAGCTTGTTCTGTGGATGAGCACTAAGTTGTCTTGAAGTCCAATGATTATGAGCTGACATCGCATGTTCTTGTTTCGAATAATCTCCGTAACCGTAGGAGTGAGGTACTGCTTCACTCGGGTTAGGATAGCTTGAATGTTGGTAAGTAATGCCACTACTTTGATTTGCAGATGGAGTCGTTGTTGCTGGACTCGAACTGGGGGGTGTGGCATCTGCTGCTGGTTGCAGTGGTGTAGCAAGTTCAGAAGAATGTGACAAAGGAGTTAGATTCCCCGTTGAGAAAGAACTAGATGTAGGTGGATGTAATGATGATGCTGCTAGTGCTGATTGACAAACAGAAGGAGCCGTCAAGGCTGATTGGTGGAGTGAAGGGGCGAGTGCCGAATTCAGAACTGAGCTTGTACCCAACGCTGATGAATAGGATTGCTGCCATGTTGCACATTGTGCATTAAAAGTGGAAGGGGGTTCGTATTGCTGATGAACGGAAGGAAATGCTGACTGTAATGACATTGTATTGAAAGCGCTAAGTTGTTGTGAATTGAGTTGTTTACGGAGTCGGGCTCTTCGGTTAGAAAACCATACCTAAACAAATATAATAAATTTTAATTTTGCAATGATTTTATTATTCTTTCATTGAGAATCAAATTAGTTAAATAAATCTATTATCTAATTGAACTTACTATTTCCATTAATATGAAAATATTATAGGATTAATTTCAATCAATTATATATATTTCTTTACATGTACCTTCATAAAAATATCAATCACTAATTGAATTATAATTTAAAAATATTGTAATGGTTTTATCTACAGTACCAATAACGATTCAATAATCAAAATCTAAAATGGGTCTAGAGTAATGAAACTGAAGACAATCTCAAAATAAATCCACTCAACTAATTGTCTTGGTGAAACTCGCAACGTAATCCTGAGAGTAGCTACCGCTCAAGAGAAATCAAAACAATTAATTTGCTTCGACATTGAGTTCAATACGGAGACTAAAACACTTTTCTTAATTAACTTCTTATATGAAATAAAATATCACTATGATTTTAAATAAATTTAATTTTGTATAAAATCATGATTACTGATTACTACATTATTAATCTATAAAAAACTTGCAATGAAACGGTAGCATATACAACATATGGTAGCTCGATTACAAATGCTATCCATAATTAATAATAAAAGTAATTATGGTATTTTTTCCATCACGCCCTCGGGGGGCGGGAAGTAAACGGACTATAACAATGAATTATTTAATGCACTCATCTATCATTGATATAGGTAGTCAATTACAAATGTCAAATTTTATAACTTACCTGAACCCTTGCCTCAGTAAGTTTAGTTTTCTGTGCTAGTTCTTCCCTCGTATAAACATCTGGATATTGAGTTCTGGTGAAGGCTCTTTCCAAAGCCTCGAGCTGATCTCCAGAGAAGGTTGTTCTAGATCTCCGCTGTTTTCTCTTCAATGTAATGCCAGGCTCTGATTCAGTGTCGGAGTCTTCACAAGACGAAGGACCTTTTGGAAATAATAGAATTTGTTGGTTAAAAATACATTACGCTAAATTATGCTTTAATTTAAAGTGGCGATTTTTAATACCTTTAGCGTATTCTTTACGATAATAGTAACTGCGTGTCTAACTTTATAAATTACCATGTAGGCATGAAGCTACACACTGGAATTTTATTACATAAAGTTTTGTTACAATAAATGGTGACTTTCTATCTACAGCCTTTGTTGTTTTGTTTCATGTTGATTACCTTCATACTACCGACCAGACCACACGCGGTCCGATTAAATTAAACGTAACCACATTATATTACGTTTGTAGAATCATCGAATTAGTTCTTTTGGAGCGTCAACAAATATTATTGTAAGCTAGTTAATGATAAAACAGATTTAAATTACTATGAGGTTGATGTGGCCGTTGCCATTTAATTTTACTGTAACCACAATTTGTGCAACTATTTCGTACGTAGTAGTGTGGGTACCTATTGATAATAAAGTGTAAATCTTGCGAAAGAAAAACCCGCTTTTTGTTACCATCATCTATAATTACCAATGCATATCATGAAAGCATGTATGCAAATATTTCCACGAAAAGCTGGGCCAAAATGCACCGTTAACCGTCGTCACAGGCCAAGCACGAACCGCGCATTTCCAATACTCGAGACCGAGTGGTATAGAGGCCGCTTTTCCAGTGTAGATATTACTTTAGCCGCGCACAACTTAATATGCATAATCTTATCGCTGTGCAGAATCTTGCAGGCAAAAGCGCACTCCATCGTTGAACCGGGATATTAGGAGCGCCATTTTATATTGGATAGCTATACGGCACAAGACGTGCAGTACGGACAGATTGTCGTAATGCAAGCCCTGCGGCCAAACGCGATGGGATAATAACACCTTTGGATACTAATTTCATTTTTATAACCTACAATTTCGAAGCCGACACAAGGGGCGCTGCCGTGGCGTGCGCTCGCGCGTCCGCTTCACTTTTACGTGGATTATTAACTTTATACGCTATTTTCTGAAGTTTGCAAACGTTCCGACAGTCTCATTATAAGAATAAATTTATAATAATAGTGTGCTTTGAACTAAATTAAGTGATTATGGTCTTGGATTGGCGTTAAAGACTACGATGACACGGCAAGTTATTTACGCATCATTAACTTGAAGGTTTTCTTACCTTTTTAAATAAAAAATAATTTTATATTATTTATTGGAGTTATATGTGGTATTGGTATTCCAAGTGTTTAAAGTACATACAATTATTATTCGTCTTCAAGTTAACAATTTAATAACGTAGATCTGCTAGTATTTCCTTATCATGAAACGTACAGGGTTAAACTAAAGCAATATAAAGTTTAATGCATACAACGCAAAAACTACTTCATATAGCTGAATACAAATAGAAAAGCATGCATCTGGGATAAATTTATGATATGAGGCTTTATTGTTATAAGCAAAATTGATATATATTAATGTATGGGAAGTCAAATCATAGACAAATCACAAGATGAAAACGATTGTTTTCCATCAAAAAAAGGAAATTATCAAGGTAAGCGTGACTTACCTAGAATACCATCAATGCTGTGATTTCTTCTAGGATCTGATTCGTCCCTTTTGCCTCCTCTTATTAGTCTCGAAATCGAGCTGACTGACGGAGCTGTGTTTTTATCACAGATGCCTTCTTTTATTAGTTTATCTCTAATCTCCCAGGAGAATATACCTGGGTTTTGTCTCTTCAACTCTTCTATCCTGTTCTCTACTTCAGGCGTCGCTACTCTCGGTTTCGATCCTCCGATAACACCAGGCCGGATAGAACCAGTTTCCTGATTAATAAAAATGAAATTAATATTTCTTCTTAGGATAGTATCTGACTATTATATCTCTGGATATTTAAGTACCTATATTGATGTTTTAGATCATTTTACCTGATATCTATTGAGGATCTTGGATACGCAGCCATGTGAGACGCGCAGTTGCCGTGAAATGACGCAAGGACGTACTCCTGCTGCAGCCATCTCCACGATCTTCAGCCTGATGTGGTTGGGTAGGGGACGACCATTTATGAACACCCCACCCAATTGATTCATACGACCCTGACCTGCAAAATAAAGTTCTTTGTACCACGGACATTCTAACACTTCTAAGATATACGCTAATATAGACGCTATATAGACCACGCAATTTTCAATGTCATAGGTAATTACTATAATCATAACTGTTAATATGTCTACTTGAATTATAATTTTGCTTGTCATTAAGCTACACAATCTCGTGCTTAGACAGATGAAAATCAGATTAAAATACATAACAGTAACAATAATTCTCTTTTGTAGAATTATTGAGCACTACACAACTGTAGTCGTTTTCATGAATGGTCATTTCGTTAACTGAAGTACGACAAAAAACGAATGAGTTTATAATATATCTACAAATCTAAAAACCAGTAGCTCCATTGAAATCAAATAACGCGTGAAGCATCAATAGCAACAATACATTAATAACACAAAGCAGGCGTACATCGGTTCTTGTTCGATACACTATAGAAGCTGTATGGTAGTCCTTGATCACCTCGTAATTTTACGTTTCATTGCAAGTCTTCTCAAGCAAGAGTATCCAATTTCTTTTAATGTGAATGCGGTCAAGCAAAAACGATAACACTTAAACTATTTTCGATCTTCATTCATTTCGCGTTCTTATGTTTTATGACTTAAGTATCGAAAAAACCACTCGTGAAATAAAGAAAAATCGAATTAAAAATATCTGACGTAACTTTTAGATTAACATCAATCGTTTGAGTCTGTAATCTGTATATACAAATCAATGACTCATTTTCGATTTTCTGAACCATAAAAGAAAGTCATCAAGATTTTAATTAGTGTTTCGCAATGATCACTATAAAGATGTAATTAAGTTTATTAGTTAATATCTATTAAATAATTATGCTAAAAGATATAAAATATACTGACATATATTGATCGATATATTTATATGAGAAAGGTGTCGCTATTATAATCACATCATTCGTACAGAGCAGTGGCTGGAGGAATTGTGGACCACCTATCGTCAAAGGAGACCGCCGATCCTCGATTTTTGCTGTGCCTTTGTGTACGCATGTTAACTTGTATAGAGATGACATGACGTTTAAAAGAAATAAAAATGCAATTTCTATTATTAAATTAAGTATGCAATCGTACAAGAGTCGCTCTAAATAAAATATATAGTTGATTTCCTTTCTATAAATAATACTAAAATTTTGTATAATTGTAATAATATGAATTATTAAATGCTATATTGAATGTATTACAAATAAGAAAAATAACAATATATTATACGAATCAAAGGAACGAAAAAGGAAATTAAACATTATCTAAGAATTTACGTAGACGTATTATTTTTATCACTATTATAAAAAAATATTAATATGCATATATACATAATGTGCATGAACAATTTCTCATTTACTTATATAAGTTCAAACTACAAAGTTACATTTAATGTATTAATTTGTATAAATTTACTTAGCGTTTCTATGAGGACACCTATCTAAATTTTGAATATAACCATTTCACATTAAAAATCCTGTCTTCAATTTTATTTTATATTATTGTATTGTAATTATACTAATAGTAAAATTACAATATATTTTTATTTTATAATTACGTATTTGTTCAAATTGGAAACTTATTAAATAATCCCTTTTTTGACCTCATATGAATTAGCTGGCCACGCTTCACGAATAAAAAAAATAACAGTGGCATCTTCCACTTGAGAAGGCATTTATAGTTTATCAATTTCAAATAATTCCTCAAAGGCACCGCCATATGTAAGACCCTAGACCCCTACTGAGAAACACCAATCAATTAGACAACATGTCAACAAGTATGTCTTTAGATAAGGAGAGGCACCGATGAGCATAATAATAAAACAATCTAATATAAACCATAATCCAAACAAAATATGGTTACAAATTTTAACAAACGAAAACAAAGATATGTTTCCTATAGCCCTTTCATTGCACCAACATACTCTGGACCTTATGACTGTAACGATAAAGATTCATTTAACTTTGCAGAAAAATCATCTTTTGTATCAAAGCCGGACCTTTGGTGTGGTTCTGCAAGCGATCCCTGTTTTTTTGGCGTCGGTAGACGCTGCGGTGCCTCGAAAGCCCATGTTTTAGAGTGTTAATTTTATGTTCCCGAAATATTTATGACGCATAACGCGTCCATAATAACCCCGCTACACAAATGTGGGTGGCTTTGTAATAATGTATCACTTCATTATAATATCTGTTGTATTATTGGCAAGTAAGTGTGCGGCGACGCCCAATATCAGTATCATTTATAAAAGTTATCATAAGACTTCTTTACATTCTACAAGTTTCCTTTGGCAGGATAACCAAATTATGTATTTTGCCATTTCTTTATATCCCAAACCAAATATTCGACATCTATTTTCGCCATTATAATAAAAGTTATCTATTTATAAATAAAACATATGCAATAATAGTATTTATTAATAGATGAAAAAACACTAAATTCTAATATTATACAGTGAAACAGGATCAGTTCAGTATTACAATTGATAAAAGGCCGACTACAAAATCACAATGCATACGTCGAGTGTACAATGCGTAATAGAATTCACAAACATTGTAACACTATTAACGCAAAAGGAGGCAAAGTTAACAACAAATTCAAATATTCGTTGGTAACTAATCGTCCGGAAGCGCTTTTCGATCATGCACGAATGGATTTTAACAAAAGTGACTACCAGGGTGGTATAAATATACGGAGCATTAATAATAACACGAATAAAAAAATATTTGGAAACTGTAATACATTTTCTGGACTTCTTACTCACGTGTTTTATGCATAACAGCAGAACCCTTTGCTTTGGAATATAATCACATACTAAGAAGTAGACACAGACATAATAAGTACCTAACGTATAAATTTTCTCACAATCACATAATCGTGTTCCCATTCGTTCAACTGCTGCATTCGTGTTAGACGAAATTGAAACAGAGTCAATCATTTAATGCTAAACGCGAGAGGCAAACCGTGACGGGTTAAATGAAGATTTCGAATTCACTATTCGCATTTCTGTGTCAACGTTAATTAACAATCACATTTTCATCAACCTTCTTGATACTTTCGGGTTATCATTTATTGTTAGTGGAAAATTGGATTTCTCAAACTCTACCTTTGTGGTTTGATTAGTAAAAGTAAGTACGCACGCACTTCCACTGCTTATATTGCGTAGTCTAGACTGTCGAATTTTTATATTCTATTCAAGTCAATAAACAATCATAATTATTAATGTGCTGACTGATTTGTAACAAAGTTCACAGGACATTATGTGTCTAATTGTAGTAAAGCTTACTTATTATTAATTATGTACATTAATTATGTAATTGTGACAGAGGAAAAGCGGCTAATAAAATTATGTACGCCAGTAAGCGTACTATATCCATTAATAAAATAGTATCTAGTAATAAAATTTATTGTAGACTAGCCATTCGCTATCATAAATTATCCTTTATATTGGTATATACTTACGAATTATTATATTACTAATTAATATATTATATAATCCTTGCCTTAAAATGTTCTAACTAAATGATAAATAGAATAGATGATGTCGGAAAAAGTAATATCACTTTCTGGCGTATTTTCACCATCACTTATTAACAATGACAGTTTATAATGTACGAAGTCGATATCGTAATGTGTAAATAAATCGTAAACCCCGTTTTCACAATCATAATATGTTTCTGCCTGCAAATCAATTTCACGTAGCGACATTAATGTGCCTATAGTAAAATTTATATGAGGCTTTACGTCACTCGCCACACCGCTTTCCTACCACCTGAACTGCTCAGACGGTAATCATATGTATTATAATTTCTACAAAACCCTGGTCATAGTTCAAGGAATTCAATTAATTTATTATGTAATATAAAGTCCAGACGATAAGAAATTTATTGTACTTTCTATAAAGTTGTACATTTTTACCTATTACAGTTTAATCTAACTATTGATTGTTTGTTCCTTTTTGTTTAGGCCGATTATTATAAGATAAAAAATATGCTAGCTTTTATTACCAGTATAACAAAATATTTAATGAAATGACAGTGAATATTGTAAATATTAATATTCAACGATTAACGATTTAACTATTTCTGTACAATTAACAAATAAATAACTATAAATAAAAATCAACTGTTATAATGTCATCAAAATAGCGAATTAATTATCATACGTATATTTCCCAATGTTATCAATATAGCATTTAGCATAGCATAGTGAATCGAATTCGATCAACAAATCGATATTACCAACTACATGATCGTTATTATTAAGAAAATCTGATTCATTCGTGACCGAAGTGACAAAAGTGGTATTGGAATTCGATTGACAAGAGATTTCTTCTCGTAACCTGTTAAAATTCATCTATACACTAATAAAATAACCTATTACTATCGAAAATCAACCAACAAAGAGGTGAAATGCCATCTGAATAGGCATTAGAATTGGGCGGCGTTCACAAAGGCTGTGTCATTCCATTAAGCCTTCTTCAAGCCTTCGAAGTATTCTGTGTGGCCTGGTCGCGTGGCCCGCGACTAAATGTAGCGCAATCGAATATCAAATCAATTCTATTATACTTTCATGCATTGCTTAGCATCTCTCATAGCGGTTTATAACCGTTTGGGTAAATATCAATTGGTACTTCCACATTCCATTAATGTTTTATCAATATGAAGGTTTAAATTATTTGCGAAAGCTTTAACTTTAAATATATATAATGAATATTGAAACCTAAGAATTCTAATATCAATATAGTGAACGTAGAGCTGCTAACTGAATAATAAAAAAAACAAATTTCATCAAACACAATGTAGAAAGCGGTGTAAAGTACTAATTAAATATTAGTCATTAGAGCATAAAACTGTGGACACATACAACATTCCCAAGAGCGGCTCGCTTGAAAAATACAAAACCTATTCCAGTAATTTGTTTAAAACACGAGTAGGTACATGCATCTCCCCATTGAACTGGCAACCATCTGTACAAACTAAAGCAACGCTTTCGGCGT